TGGGGGTGGCCCCTGGACCAGCTTCCCCCGCTGCCGCCGCCGTGTCCTCGCCCGCCCCGCCGCTCCCCCCTCCCCTCCCGTCGCCCGTCGAGGCGTCGCCCTGCCCTGCCCGCCCCGCCGGGCCCGCGCTGCCCCGGCCCTTCGCGGATCGGGGGGGACGGAGCGACCCCCGCCGGCTCCCGGCCCTCGACGGGGCGGCTGCGAGCTCCCCGGAGCAAAGGAGGGGCGGTTCGCGGCTTTTCTACCCCGACCCCTTTCCTCTTCTTCCTCCTCCTCCTCCTCCTCTCTGCTCCCTGCCTCAGCCGTGGGAAATGGGATGGGGGGCGGAGGATGAGGGGCTGCAGAAAGCTTCAGCTGCCTGCTGCCCTCCCGGGGAGCTGGATACCTGGCTCCATCTCTCCTCTCTCTTCCCTCCAGTGCCCTAGGGCTGGCAGGGGCAGCGCCGCACTCTCTCCTGCCACCGTGCGTGCGTGTTTGCAAGCGGCTGCCGCTCCTCCTGGCTGCTGCTGCTGCTGCTGTTGCTGTTGCTGCTGTTTCCAGACCCACTTTCTCGCCCCCTCGCTCTGTGTCGGGAGAGGTACGTGTCGGACGCTTTTATACTGCCCTGCCTCCCTCCCCTGCTGTCCTCCCTCCCTGCTCCCCCCCTTTTCCTTCGCCCTCTCTGCAGCTCCTGCTCCAGTCTAGCGTGTCCCCCCACACACCCTGCTCCCCTCCTCCCTGTGCCGACCTGCTCCTCTGCAAGCCCTGCTTTGCCAGGACACCCCACTGCTGCACCTTGCATCCCGGCTGTCACCTCTGCTCGGCTGGGATGGATCTGCCCTAGAGTGACATGTCCCTTTCAGCTTTTCTGTGCGTCCCTCGTTGGACTTCACTGGAGTTTGACACTCCTTACTCTTCCTCTCGGTTGCTGACTGTGTCAGTGCAGTGGAAAAAGCTTTCTCCCTCAGATGGGAGACCCTCAAATTTAAAGTAATGTGGACTTGGAAATGTGTGAAAATGAGTGTTGGATTATCACTTGCTGTAGGTCAGTATCTCAGTGCCTGGTCTGAGGGAGCCAGACCTCTTGGTGAGTGCTCAAGGTGCAGCTCAGTGTAACAAGAACAAACAGCTCAGCTTGAAGCATAAATAAAGCCACCTAACAAAAAATGGGAGTTTTGGAATCTTTGTTGTCCTTACACAGTTGGGAATGTTACGTGTAAAAATGAGGTTACAAACAGTCGGTGTGTCTGTGAGTGTGTGACAGCTGGGAGGCTGAATCTGTATCAAACTGTCTAAATGGGCAAATTGGGGTAAAAGTATCCCCCAATTCAAAACGTTTTTACCCAGAGACCAGTGTCCTCCACAGGGTTCCTGCAAGGTAAGGGYGAGATGTTCTTCCAGCACGCAGTGCCAGCTGGGCCCGAGGCACAACACGGGAGCCTCAGCCCGCAGTGTGCCCGAGCTGGGAAAGCTGGCACATTTGGGGCACRAGGAGAATCAGAGCTCGTGGGAGGTTTCTTGCAGGTCTTGGTGCATGTGAAGGCTGTCTGTGGTCATGAATGAGTCAGAAGGACGTCTCATACCCTTGCAGTGATAACCGCTGTCAATGATTGCGCAGGAATCRGGCAAGAATATGGTTAAAATAATTGCACTGGGGTATCATTAAAGACGTGACCAAAAGCCACAAACCCCAAACCTTCAGATTTAAGGCTTTAAAAATCCACAAACATCTTCCATGTTAGCACCACGGTAAGAAGGATCAGCGCAGATGACGTGCAGGGCAGGGACTCCCATGGGTCTGCCCTGAGTGCATCAGATGTACAGCTCCCATCTCGTGAAATCACTTGTTGATAAATGCCTGGTACTGCACCGATGCTCTCGGTTATGCGGCCGATCGTACCGAGCCATTCCATGCTGCAAAAACTCATTACAGCCTGTGGGACTGTCACGTGGCTTTTAAAAAATGTGGTGCCTTTTTTTTTTTTTTTTTTTTTTTTTTTTTTTTTTTAACCCAAACATTCCTTGGGCTAATCAAAATATTGAGAAGATAAAAACACTGATGTACTTCAGCTGTCATGGCTCAGGCTGAGCTCTGTTCTGCCACCATTGGTGTGATCCTGGTGCCAGGCATGGCAGCGAGCAGAAGAGGGGCAGCTACAGGAGGCACAAGTGGCAGCCAAGAGGCACAAGTGTCCTCCAGCTTTGCCAAGGGCTGACCATACCTAGTGGCTGTCAGTGGGTCCTGGCTGCTGAAGAAAAGTGGAAACTTGGCACATGAGTTCTGTATTTCAGAGCTTAATAGTACAAATCGACAGCCAGAGCGAGACTGAGGGCTGGTAATGCGAAACAGTCCGAGTGACAGTCTGGTGAAAAACACACACATGGGCCTGTGCCGAGCTCTGGGTAATGCGAGTTCTCCCTTGCCTYATGAAACTGAACCAAGAGACATCTTTAATCCAGATGAGATGGGCCCGTGCTGGTGCTTGTCTCCTCGTGGCACAGCAATGCACTGGGCTCTTGTGCAAAGCTAGGGAGGGACAGAGCTGGGCTGCTCTCTGCTGCGAGATGGCAGCGAGGAACCAAAGCCTGTTCCCACTGGAAAAAGTTGGTGTAAAAGTGTGGATATGGCACTGGTGTGTGGGGTGAGGCTGTCTGGGGGGGGGCAGGCAGGAGAAGGTGCACAGCTGTGCTCTGGAGATGCCTGTGTACATTCACAATCAGCAGATGGCTTCATTGATAAAATCCAGAGGTCTCAATCACAACCTGGAGGGGAGATGGATTTAAAAGCAAAGGGGAAAGTTCTCCTGGCCGGGTGGATGCTTGCTCCAGCAGCTGTGATTTAGGCCCTGGAAAATGAAGCCAGGGTTCACCAGGAGGAGGAGATCCACTGCTAGCTTGAGGGGATGCTGCTCCTGGGATGTGRTTATGGGCTCTCCACAAGGCAGGTGGATCAGCAAGTGGGTCTGACAGTGGTGCTGGGGTAAGATGTGTGTGTTCCTTTGATAGCTTCTTCCCTCTGAAGGTTCACAGATCACACCTCACCCCTCCACCTCCAGCTTTTACCTTCCATTTCTCTTCCCTTCAGCGATAAAGGCAAACTCAGCTCTGGTGCACTCCCAGCTGCTCGTCAGTGCCAGGGAAAATATGCTGAGCTCCAGCTGATCACCCCAGTGCCCGCTCAGGGGTTGTAACTCAGCTCATGTGGAGTGGTCAGGGGGCTCCTCTGATGTCCTGCCTCTCCCACACCTCTTGGTTCCCCTACTCTCTTTGCACAGCTTCAAGAGTGAGTTGTACCTGTCTGTGTTGTGGTCCCCATGGTCTCCCTCACATCAGGCTGCCAATAAAAATGCCACTGTACCACCTTCAGTGCTCCAGACCTGGAAACTCTGTCCAGGGCTGAATTTGTGATGTCCTTGCTGGCATGTCCTGCTGCTGGTGCTTCTGTCTCCTGACAGCTGATCACGCCATGTACTGTCCACCACACTGCCCAGGGCAAAACCCTCTTCACCACTGTGCAAGCACCTACACTTGGTGCTGAGTCCTGAAAAATGAAGTATTGCCTAACTGAGACACAGCACTTTGCAGAGGTTGGATGGTCCCAGAGATTGAAAGGAGCTGCAGCTCGATTGCGCCTGGCCAAGTGTGAAAAATCCCTGCTATGGATGAGTGCCACCAGGGGACAACCTTCAGGGCCAACATGAGAATTGATGGAGAAGGAAGGGAGAGAAAAAAAACCAGTATGATATAAATGAAACAACAAAACTCACTCTATGTGCTTTATTTCAGAAGTGAGAAGGGCCACTGGGTTTTTTGTCACAGTATCCTGACTCCCTGGGGTCCTATACCCAAGCAGTTCCAGCAGTTAAAAATTATTGGTGTTTACCTGATTGTCCAGTTTCCCCTTTTATTGTCCATGCTGGTATTGCCCCGTGGCTGGGGAGGAATCCTGTCTGTAAGGTCTGACAGCTCTTCAGAGAAGCACTGCCGGTCCTCAGCCTGCACCCACTCCCAGGATGCCGTCGTTTCATCTTTAAGCCTGGGGGTTGCTTTGAATTTATCAGGGATGAAAACCTGGCTCCGCTGAAGTCGTTGGCAAAGCTCCCGTTGACTTCAGAGGAGCCAGGATTTCACCCTGAGACGCTTTGTAGATTATTGGTGAATGGAAAGCATACGTCTGGCTTCTCCAGGGTTATTATTGTTGGTGGTGACCTCTGCTCTGGCAAGCATTGAGCAAGGCTGGCTTGAGACAGATGGTTAAAGCTTCCCCTACCTCTTCCCCTGCTTCCTCGCAGGG